AGCCATGTTGAAATTTGCTATTTCCCATTTTCAAGGTGTCCAACAGTGCAAACCGAAAGTATGATTCCATTGTCAGTGCTCTGCGAGCCATCAAAAACACAAGTAGGTGCTGAGGTCCAATGAAAGGAAGTTAAACTTAAATCCATTACCGTAGTCCTCATGTTGTCTCTTTTTTCCCCAGACGCCAATACCTCCCTGCCTCCTACCTCCTTGGCGCAGCTGATTCCACCTGAGCACAACCTGACCTCGTTTTACCGCTATCGGGGTTCACTGACCACACCGGGCTGCATCGAGGCTGTGGTTTGGACCTTGTTCGAGAACCCCATCCCACTGAGCTTTGATCAGGTTAGGATGTGTGAAAAGAAATCACAAGGGGAACACAAATGTGGGGGGAGGGGGGCAGATTAATGTGAGAGTGAAATGATTTTGCTGATAAAACATAACTGTCTTCAGTCCGCAGAGAGTCAGCATTAGATGACCCGCTTTCATGTCTGTTTGAGTAATTGTTTCTGTCTCATGAGGTTACACTGATAAAAACATGCAACTCATAAATTTTGCTTTGTATTTAAAAACATGTACAGTATACACAACACATGGATAATGAATCTCTGTGTATATAATATAATATAATATAATATGATATAATATGATATACAGGAACAATGTGAATAATAGTGGTCCAAGCACAGAGCCCTGTGGAACCCCACGATAAACATTTTAAAAATATTTTCAAATCCAATAATACATTGTGATCGAAAAAGCACATTCTGATCAACTTTGAAGAAATATTGATGTGCTATCTTCGTCTCTCTTCAAATGCTGAGACTTTTGATGTGATTTTTTTTTTTTTTTCCCCCCTCCTTCAGCTGCGGGCTTTTTCGGAGCTCAAGTTCCGCGACGGGAAACCAATGGTGGGAACCTTCAGGCCAGTGCAGCCCCTGAATGGCCGCCAGGTGTATCGATCTGGAGGTGCGGTGCTCTTGGTCAGCTCCAACCTCCTCATGGCTGCCCTGGCTACGGCCTTGGGACTGTCCCGGCTCTATTAAGAGCAAGGCGCCTCTGCTGCACTGCGACACTCATGAACATTAAACATGATTCTTAGTTTTGCGACACCATCACCGCATGGTCTCCAAAATGGTTACACACGTCGTAGTGCATGCATGACTCACCTAGGGGCCCCCACGCCCTTATGACACAGATGATAAAGGTGTTAAGAGGACACCTTGGAGGTGTATAAGGGTCGATATGCTAGCATGCATGCAGAGTGAATCACGAGGTCATACATCCGCCTTACGAATGTGCCATGGAGTACTCAGTGGCCAGTGCAGTCAGACCCCTGCCCTGATATTTCACAGCATCATCAAAACGACTCACACAAACACATCCTCATGCACTTTGGTTTGGCCACCTTGAACAATGTCAAGCCTATTTAGTCTCTGCTCATATCAGTGTGAGTGGCTCCGATCTTGTGAACGGGGCACGTGATGCCTCGTTCTCTCTCAATGGCACATGAGAACTGAACAGCGCTATTAATAGCACAAGTGAGTCAGAAAAACAAGCTCAGTGTCCGAGCCAGCGGTCAAATAAGTCAGTATGTTGCCGTCTTTCTTTTTTTTTTTTTTTTAACCTCATCTCAAAGTCCAGGCAGGTGGAGCGACAGGCTGGTGTTGACAATCTTCACTTTTTTTTTGTGATTCTGAGCCCATGCTGGGGATCACGTCCCACAATCTGAGGCCTACTGTGACACCTTAAATGTTATGATGGGAAGATGGAGGGACTGTCGCACGATGAGCAAGAGCGGGGATAAAAGGGGCGACTCATGGAAGCGGGCAGCAAAATCAAATTCATTATATTCCTGCATCGCCCACAGCCGAAAGTTCCGCGGGTCAGCACATCTTCATGATTGCCGTTTGAGGATGCACAATCTAAATTCAGACGCACACTCCTCAAGCGTCCTTCCTCTCATTTCGCACTGCTACTGGGTCTGCTGCATTGAGTGCTACTGACTGTGAATTACACCCTACGGACTCCTCTCTGATCATCCTGCGGGGCCGCTTATGCGTTCTGATGGGAGATGGGTGCCATCTGCCAGCCACATTTGTTGTGATGACCAAGGAAGCTGTATATTTTTTTTTCCATAGTTTCGTGATGCATTAACTTATATTTCTAAGCCGTTCTAATGCACATGATTCACATGTATTTTATGCACTGAATGTGTCTATTGATATGAAATGCATTTTGGTATTATTTATGTATTGCAAACAGTCATATATATCGGGTTGTATGCGTTTGAGGATGTGAACTTGTGAAACATGTCATAGGTGATCTAAAGAATGTGTTAATGTTCAACAATAAATATATGCCTTTTTAATGAACAGCCTCTTTGTCGGTGCAAATTATTTCTCGTAAAAGAAATTGACCTACTGGTAGCCAAAAAGAGAACCACTTTATTTACTAAACTGTGCTGTTGTACAGTTGTCAAACAAAATAAATGTAAGTCTGACCTCATTTTTATGTTAAAAAAAAAAATCAGGAATAACAATAAGCACAACTTTCATAATGGTCAACACGTTTTTCCTTTTTTAATTTTTAACTCAGATACGCAAGTAAACTACAACCCTGTCATAAAACTCCCAGCTGAGCCCCTTCCGAATTTGATATTCTAAAAATCCTCCCTCGGCCCCCATGTATCGGTTAAGCCCCGCCTTTTAGTGGTGTTAAAAGCAGAAAGTTCGTGTTGCATGAACAACTCTCTTCATGCTTCAGTCATTGTTAAATTACTGTTAGTCAGTCACCACTACTTTGGAACCATCAGTTGTTTTTAAATGAGGAGTTTTTCCCGACAAGACTCCAAACAAAAAGAGTCGAAACAAATTTGGAGTACCTCTCTTGTTCTGAATGTTATAATTGGCAGGCTGTTGCTGTGATGAGATTATCAAGAAAAAAGTGGATTGCCCTCACAACTGAAGCTCAATTTCTCCATGAGTGGCGAATACAAAGAGGGGAAACAAATGTCAAGAAAAGCGACTATGTGGAAACGTTTCCATGACAGTAAAGGGGGCATCTTTCATTCTTGTCCCCAGGTTCAAACATGGCGCTCACGCATCCTTTGCAAGCTTCTCCAGGAGCCGATGGCAACGATAACCCCGTTCAGTGACCGCATGGACGCCAACTTTCATGCATTCAAATCAGCGGGAGGAAAGAATCTCTGTCACGCTTCAGTTTGTAGCCACAGGTACGTTGGAAATTATGAATATGGTTAAGTAAAAAAACACACACATATATATATATATATATATATATATATATATATCGCAGAGCTTGCTGATGATATGATCATTTGAATCAGGTGTTGCAACAGGGAGAGACTTGGAAAACATGCAGGACAGCGGCCTTCCAGGACCCGAGTTTGACACCTATGGCATAGAGGACTTCGAAGTGTCCCGTGGCTGCCTTCGAAAGTTCGTTGCATGACATCAGCTGAGCAATGCTGCCTAGTGTGGTGATCGAGGGGAGGTCACGTTAGAGACGGTGAGTGAGTGGAAAGAAAAGCCACCAGGTCTGTTACTAGTCTCATTTTGTTGCAAATAGTCCTAATTCTGTGACGCGTCTTGTTATACTGTATTTTATTCATAGACCTGTAGTGTATGCTGCAGTTTTTGTGTTGTAAACAGTTTTTGGACCATATATTTTTGCATTTTATTGCCTGTGTTGTTACGGGTGTATTTTACTAACATACTTGCATGTTCATCAAGGACATGCACCGTAGTCAGTTCCCACATATGGAAATTCTGTTTTAAGGAATGATTGGACAACGCAAATATGATTCCTTACTGGTGAATACTTGTGTGTGAGTGTTTTTTTTTTTCATTTTAAGATGGTTACACACATCCCGGCAAACAGGCCTAATTTGAGCATGCCCCTGTCGTAGGCCTGATACTTGAATGTCTTTAGAAGATTATCATGAGCGATAATCCTGGGGTGTGTTGAGTGATTCCTCATCAATCATAACATTGCCAGCAATCATAAATGTTCAACAAAGACTGTTGTGAAAAATCCACCACTACATTTTGTGTGCTGTTTACAAAATGGCTAATATGACTCTCACCAATAATGTTGTGTCGCATTTACAAAATATCAAGATGTAAGCCACGAAATATTAATGGCAAACACCGTCGAACTATGTGCACCAATCCTCCCCTTCTGTCCGAGCACTGGTGTCATACAGCGGACTATTTACACAACCGCAACTACAAATCACTCATGTTGTTTACCAAATCCTATCTCCTTTCGAGTTATTAATGATGTTGCCCTTCCATTCTTTTGTTGTTTGCCACCATTAAGGAATCAAAAGGCTCTCTGTGATGTAAAGACGCAGGAAGACATCGGCCTCTCGGCGATACACGTGCAGGTAAGGAAAGCTTCCTGTTCATCCCTGTTAGGACTTCTTACCACTTATGAGTCGGGAAAGACTCGGCATCAAAGCTGAGGAAGTTGACTATCTGGCAGAAGCTACAATACCCGTCTGTCACCGTTATTCGATGTCCTCTGAACGACTGCATTCCGCCAATGTCTGTGACAAATAATGCTATTCTCTTTTGGGGAAAACAGAGGCACTTTCCTCTTTCCTAGCCAAACACTTTCATCATATCACTAAATATGTCACTACTTCCTGGCGTTCCATGTCATGAGTTCATCAAGAGGACAATTTCACGTAGGTTTAAAGGCCTTGAGAGTAGTTGGTCCAAACTTCTTGTTGACAGGTATTTAGCAGAAGATGAAAATGCCAAAATGTTGTCTCATACTCGATGTGTGTACCCCAGTTTAGCTTCCTTTCATTCAAACGAAAAGCGGGTATATTCATTAAGCCTTTCAGGGACAGCGGTTATGACAGCGAACACACCGCACCCTTCACATTTTCGTCACTGACAATCATGAGTTCTTGTTTTGAGGTGAAAATTAAACTTTTGTCCGTGCGGTACACGGATGTGGAGGGCCACCATGAATGAGTTTGGCTTGGGCCCCCGGATGACTTCATACACCGCTGGCTGCCAGCTCTCCACAGCAGATAACATCAGTTTACATGCGGCGCTTAAAAAAAAAAAAAAAAAAATGACCGCCAAGTGTGTACAGCAACTTGAAGCCTTCTGATCTCACTGGCCGGAACAATGACTTGTGGGGGAAACAAAAAATCTTTTCAAAAGGCCGGTTCTCCCTTTCAAGGACTCTTGAGCGTCAATGGCGGGACAGGTCAAAGGTTGGTGAGGTCAGAATGAACACAACGGCCTTAAAAGTTAATTTGGTTGTGTGCTCGGCAGTCATATGAGCAGCAGGGGTACTTTGACCACTATCATTGTTCCTTTTAGAAACAAGTTCTGGAATTGAATAGAAGACGTGGAGATGCGGAAAGGTTGTAAATATTAGCAACAGGCAGAATTTCTGTAGGTGTAGCTAACGTCGTAGCAGGTTTGGAGCTTAACAAGAGAGCATACGGTAAATCTTGTAATCATATTTTACTTGATGGGTATTTCTGTTTTTCATTCCTCAATGGGTTCATCCATCCATTTAGAACACCCGTTAGCTCGTCCAAGGGGGCGGGGATCAATTTGACCAGCTGACTTTGAGTCACAAGCTCACAGCCAATCACAGGGGACAAAGAGAGAGACAGGCGCCATCATCAGTGAGTCGGAACTCAACTCATGCAGCGTGCAAGTGAGCCACGACACCATTAGCGACTCTGTTTTCAATATTAATGATCGCATGATCGACGGGATCGGGTGAAATTGCATTTGAAAAGTTAGAAATAGTAAAAAGCTTTCTTCACATGCCAAAAGTAATTCCTTTGTTTCATCTCCTGCTGAAGTTTGCTCACCATCCATCCATCCATTTTCCGATCCGCTTATCCTCACAAGGGTCGCGGGGGTGGGGGGCTGGAGCCTATCCCAGCCGTCTTCGGGCAGTAGGCGCCTAGGCGGAGGGAGGCCGGAGCTAGAATTGAACCCGGTACCTCTGCACTATGAAGTCGACGCCCAGTTTGCTCACTTGTAATGGAATTAACCGGCTCCAATTTTTATGGTTGTTTATTGACTTTGTTATAAGACGGACTATCATCGAAAAAAACAAACAAAAACAAAACAAAAACAGAAAAGTTATAAGATGTGCTTTTATTTTTTTGAGGGGAATACTGTAATTATTTACTTACCTACAACCCAGTCAGAATTCTGATCTCCCCCAGATTGTCTGGCGCCTTTGTGGCACACAGCTCAACGTCTTAATGACTCAGCAAAGGCTTGAGATGAAGATTTTTTTTTTTGTTTTCGTTTTAAGGCAGCTCGCTGTTGAAGAGATGCTAGTCTGCTTCACGGCTCCTTTTTGTTCTGAAAAAAAAAATAATACAGTATATGGTGTGCTGTCGGCGTAGGTTTCGGGAATCTGCTGAGGCTGTGTGACATTGCAAAGACGTTTTGCCTTCCTGACATGATATGACAGTGTGACGTATTTTGTAGCGTGCAACATTGTCACAGAAGTGGCTCGATGATATGATTCAGCAGACGCCAGCTGCTATCACCGTGCTTTATGTTTGCGCTGTGCTCATAAAAAAAAAAAAAATAGACTGCGTCACATTGCAAGAGATTGCAAAAGTCTACACTAGGATGACTTGTACATTTTGAAACAATGTCTCCAACAAAGACCTCCTTATTTTGCCATAACTTTCAGTTTGGACACAAGCGTTATTCTTCTCACCTTCAGATTAGTGATTTGTCACTTGACAAATATTGCACTTGGTCGCTGTTTGTGTAGTGGTTCACTGCCATGCTGACGGCACGGGTTCATTCAATTCAATCAATTCCCATATCGAACAAAAGATGGCTCATTTCAGCGGTTCAATTCATCAGATAACACTTTTCGGCAAGCCAATTCCTACCTAATTTCTGGATCAAAGATATTTTTGGATCAGTTCTTCAGAGTGTCGTTGTCAAAATGCTGAATTATTATTTTATTTGTTATCTGGAAGCTATAATTGTGAAAATGCTAACAAATACAACTGTGACATACTGAAATGAATTGAGTTTGCTCCACTATTTATTGGATTTTATTTGATTGAAATGCACCATCTGATCTAATATGTGTAACCACTAATACAAAGCGCCTTATCGCAATCCGAGATAAATGATATAAAGCAAGTCGAAGCAGTCCCAAACACGAACAAGGTTAACATAACACAAGTTATTCATTTCGAAACAACGGCAATTTGTTTGCTCTCGCTGGCATTGTTCTACAGGCCAGCAAGGGGTGAGGGTCATTTTCGGAGAAAAAAAAAAGCCTCAGAAGAAAACGCCAGTATTTATATTGTGCTTTCCAAGAACCAAAATGTATTGTCCTCAACATGGCGGATGTTTAGAATTCCCCCAAAATATTGGGTGTTTACCATGTTTTGAAGAATTTCGAGGAAAGTTTTCTTTTTGCATTTCTTCAACTGGATCTGACCTGTCCTCACCACGAGTAGTCACGTACGCACGCATACATGCACGTGCACATTCGTAATTGCGCCCTTGATGGTATATTAGTGTCAAAATGATCAGGGCCAGCTGGGCCTTTTCTGTGGGCCAAAAAAAACAATAACCCAAAAACCTGTCATAAGCATGGACAAACATTTCAATTCCAAATTCTAAAACTTGTTCCGTGAAATTGTGTTTATTTTTTTCTTTATTGTCTGTTCTTCTCATTCTCAGTACTTGTGGATGTTAGGCCGTATGTAGTTTTAATGCAAAGGAGCCTCTCCAACAAGCATTTCTCTCTTCTCGGGTTTGTATTTCACTTGTGCTTTTATTGCAGTGCTTGCCAATGTAACTAAAACTATATTCGCGATGGGACGGTTTCTCTCACTAATCAGATTTAAAAATGTATCCTCACGGGGACAGACTGGCCGGGCTTCGATAATGTCGTCACTTTCCCGCCCTCTGATTGGTTGATATGAGTAAAACTTGATAGTTTACAGCCAATTTTAATGAACAAAACATGTCCGAAGGGATCTGTTCAAATTAACGCTTCTGATAATCAGCGTCACTGGCGAGGATGATGCATTTCATTTCGATGCATCATGTTTGATCATTTAATGAGGTTAATATTCATTCTGAACAATTTCAAATGATGTAGTGTCGATTGTGTACAGTTAATGGTATTTTTCTATGGTAATTATGTTTTCCATAATTGTGATGCGGGAGTAGACAGGCAGTAGAAAGCGATGAGTCGACTAGTCAAATAGTTGCCTTAACTACGCTGTACCGATAGTTAAAGCTAAAGTTGACAATGTGCAAATCACTTTTTGGGGCATTTTGTCTTTGGCCAATTTGCAGTGGACTTAGGACTCGTCCATCTGCCACCAACAAGGCATCTTCATAGTCTGCACAGGTCAGAGAGTGTCGCTGTACAATACTGAGTCAACACTTGCGTGGGTTTTCTCCGGGTCCTCCGGTTTCCTCCCACATTCCAGAAACATGCATGGCAGGCTGATGGAACACTCAAATTTGCCCCAAGGTGTGAGTGTGCCCTGCGATTGGCTGGAAACCGGTTCAGGGTGTCCCCTGCCGACTGTCCGAAGACAGCTGGGATAGGCTCCAGCGACCCTTGTTGAGGATCAGGCGGATCGTAAAATGAATGAATGAATGAATAAAGTAGGACAAGAACAACTTAGGATAAAAAAAAAATAAAAAAAATCTCACACGTTAACTCAATAGGTTGGAAAAATGTGACAGCTCACCTCGTGCACAGTAGTGCGCCATCCACATCTCGGACAGTATTTGCTCCATGGTTGCGTGCTGTAATTTGGCTCATAATGCTAACAGTCTCACGTCACGCCCCACAGTGGCTTCTTTAAAAAAAAAAAAAAAATTGATTTTAAACAGTCACTGATGGTCGTCGGTGGTTGATTAGCTTCAGCGCAGGCTGCAAGAGTTCACATCCCACTCAGTGATGGTGGAAATGTGAATGATTGACCGAGAGTGCAAGTCTACCTTTCATCTAAAGTCAAACTGCGATAGCCTCCGGCTACTCGTATGGGATCAGTGATGTAAATGTAGGATGGATGGCCGGATATGTTGCATGAACTACAATTTGGGGGGTCGGGGGGGGGGGGGGACACCTTCATTGGGGAATTACCCTTTCGCTAGATACATTATTTTGTAAATATTTCAGTAGGCAAAGATCCAGAGCCAATCTCAAGCAACAGCTGCTGTTTGGTGATGGCCCTGCGCCACATACATGTAGCACAGTTTATGAAGTGCTGCCTCCACAAGTTAAAATGCTTTTGTGATTTAAGATTTTTTTTTTTTTTTTTTTTTTAATGGCCCCTTGTTTTTCCCCACACAGTCTGAGCTCCGCTAACGCTAGTAGAAGCAAACTGTTACCCCT